TGCACCCCCCGCCCTGGACCTGGAAGGGCGCAGGTCACACGCCAAAAAATGCAGCCGGCAGCCCCTGCCCGAGCATCGGCTCTGCAGGGACTGTAGCAGAGCCCTGCCGCGCCGGGGGACGAGGCGCCCGGTCCCTCCTGCTCCGGCGTGGGTTTGCTTCATCCCCGCATGTCATGCGGGTTTGGGCGGTTGGCCGTGGCCTCCCTCTTCAGGCCCCCCTTCCCTGCGCTCCCCCCCTGCTGCCAGGCTGCTGTGTCAGGAGAAAGTAGGGTCGCAAGTTGCCAGAAATGAAGAAGCCGTCGTCAGCGGGGAGTGTCGGGGCGCGCAGGGCCGGCGACTGAGCCTCTGCGAGGTGGAGGCCTGCCTGCGTGGAAGATGGGGCTTGGCACCGTGATCTGCCGTGGTCCGGGGCTGCCCCTGTGAGAGTTACCACACAGCAGCGAGCAGCTTAATCCCTGCACCTGGAAGAACAGGCCTAGCACTTCGCTACATAAATGTTGAGGTGTTAAAGAAAGGTTCACGCTTAATGCATAATCTCTTAAATCCTGGAGATGTGCTTCAGTGACATCACCTCCAAAGAGAGGTCCTGGTGCAGAAGAACCCTCTTTGGGTTCCCTACCAGAAGATGACTCTGCAAAGCTGCTTGCAGACGAGCGAAGCAAGGAGAAAATTGAGCAAATAATTGGGTTAAAATTGTAATTATCATAACTCTTTGGGAGGTGCTTCAGCTTTTTTTGCAACTTTCATTTTACTGTATGCCATGGGCCACCCTGCGCTAGAGGATCGCTGCTAGGGCTGGACTGAGAGACCCCCCTACAGAAGAAAGTCCAGCTGCCAGAGAAAATTACGGTAGTGATTCAGGAGATGGGCACTTTTCCCACTTTGCTGGTTCATTATGTATACTTTAAGGCACTGATGTGGCAGGAGTTCCTGGCCTTTCCTGCACTGGATAATTATATATGAAGAGTATTTCAAGTTTCAGTGTTGGCGCTTTGGGGGTCCATGGTTACTGACAAATGTAGGTATCAATGAAATGCCGGAGCATTTCTTGCAAGCCTGGCTAAAAGTCTGTGTGTGTCAGATGACATGCAGATTTGTAATTCTCCTTCTTACAGGTATATTAAAGTCTTTGGTAATAAAAAAAAGATAGCTCTAGTACCCAAATGCCCTTCTAAGCTCAAACTTAGAGGTAGGATTCAGTTGCTTCATCACTGATTTTTGCAGTTCTTTAACCACAATATTTTTCTTCATTGGTTCGAAATGAATGATATTACGGGCAGCTAATGAGCGGTTTAATTGGTCCTAGCGTTGGTCACATTGCAGGAGAAATGAGAAGATTTATGTCTTGCCCTCCTGCAAGCTGTTCTA